GTTATTGATTCCAAGGGTTCACTTACTTTTTCCACTAGCATTTTGAATGTTGAATGAGCGTGTTCAATAAAGACATGAAGGATCAGAATTGTTTTTGTATTATTATTTTAGGCACATTATATTCTTGATTTAGATGATGGTCAGATCACATTTTATGACAAATTAATGCAGAACACCATGACATGATTCCAAGGGTTCACTTACTTTTTCCACTAGCATTTTGAATGTTGAATGAGCGTGTTCAATAAAGACATGAAGGATCAGAATTGTTTTTGTATTATTATTTTAGGCACATTATATTCTTGATTTAGATGATGGTCAGATCACATTTTATGACAAATTAATGCAGAACACCATGACATTCCAAAAGGTTCACATGCTTTTTCTTCCAACTGTATATAGGGATTTCCCTTTTGTTTTACCTCCACAAGAAGCCAATGAGACATACTCATCAGGCTGAGAGAGAATGACTGGTCCAGCATCAGACAGTGACTGACTGGAAATGACAATTGCTGATAATAAGCTGAAGAAAATGTGTGTGCTTTGACCAAATCATAATGTCCTTTGAGTCAACTGGTGTAAACCATTTGCCCCTCTGAGAAGTGGAGAAGTATGTTCTGTAGTGTTACCTACTATTCAACATCAGGTAGATTAAAACATTTAGATCTCTGACATCCAGAATGGGACAGAAACTGCTCACTTTTGCCTTCCTAAATGGTAAGGTACAAACTCAGGTGGAGTAAAAACCCATCGTTACTGAGCCAGAGGCAACTGATTGGATTACCTCCTTCTGTAAGGATTCCTGAACCTTGTTCTCTAAGGTTAGAGATGTCCTGATGAAACCTAATGAAGGCTATTCAACAAATACCAGGTATACACCATTAAGACCCACCTATTTTCCCATTTTGCAACCTATTGCTAGAATCTGTGGGCAATTCTGTATGTAAGTTGGAAGCACTGCCTCTAGCCCTTCAGCTATCTGCTCCATATAGGTAGATACTGCTTTGTTCGCCCATTATATTTCGAGCCAGTGTAGCCCAGAGACTGTTAGCCCTCTCAAGGTAAAGAGGAGCACAAGGAGGTGGTAGGAGCTGTGCCTTGAAGGCAAGCTTTATGACAAGGAAAGAATTGGGATGGTTTATTTATACATACCCTGCTGTAACTGACTCTGTTCTCGGTTGCATCATAAAAACTCATCAAACTCCTCTTCTGTATCAGTGGTTGGAGCATAAATTGGATGAATATTGTATTAAAGGGTTGTCCCCAGAGTCTAACTGATATTATTCAGTAATTGATGACATTATATCCAAGTATGTTCTTGGAATAGCCTTCCTAACTATAAAAGCAATGCTGTTCCTTGATTTTCATGTCCTGAGTGGTAAACAGTGCGATCTTGTTACTGCAAGTGTCCAATCCTACCCCATTTCAATTTGCTGATGCTGGAAATATATACCCTTGGCATACATCATAAATAAATAAAATAAAAACACCTCCCTGCCACAATGAGGCAGTGCAGCAGGACTTGGTGGGGGTTCTTATCTGGGTGCTGCTTAAAGGGAGTTAAGAGAGGATGTTTTATGGGCTATTGGCCCTTTTTTGTCTTTTGATTGTTGCTTTTGAATGGTTTAGAAATTGAATTTATTTCTATGTGTCTATGAATGGCTAATTTATCAAAGTCCCAGGCTTCTAGGAATATTCTTGCATTATTAGAGCTAGCTTGTACATGTGGTTTGCCAGCTGAAACTGTGGAAAATGTGTAGTTTCCCAGCTGAAACTGTGGTTGAACTTGTCTGTGTATTGTGAAATTAAAGAATTTTCATGTTTTTTGACAGCCCATTGAGGTTCATGTTTTGTCAATCTCTGAGCTCTTTGATCTACATAGTGACAACCAACACCTTGAATTGCACTTGGAAGGAACCGATAATCAGCGCAGCTCTTGCAGTAGAGTGTTACCTATGAAAACCTAGAAGTTCCCATCACTAGACAAACCACTGCATTCTGGACCAGTTGAAGCTTCTGCAGAGTCTTCAAGGGCTATCTTGGAGGAAAAAATATGGCACTGGCTTGGATAAATTAAAAAAAAAAATCAAAACATTTCCTCCCTAATTGCCTTCCCAAGGACATGAGAAACAATTCCGTCAGCTCACCACAAAATAGAGGGCCAAGAAATGTTGATAGAAACAAAAGATACAGTACTAAGAGGTTAGCATAGGTTCTGGGAACCAAGGACTTTCTAGAAACTATGTGGAACATATTTTTAGAAAATATGTTCATGAAATACTGCCTCTTTGTTCTCTCAAAACCACTGTTGTAGTCCTACCTTCACTACTTCTTAGTTTATCCCTAACTACTTCACTAAGCATCTGATTTACTATTATATCCAATCACACTCTTATTTGCATAACTACATTTATGGGGTTGCATTCCCACCTGTTTTAGGTTAACCTTGCTGTCTCAGGTACTGAATTAAACCATCTGTCCTTAAATGAAATTGTGTGCTGGTCTCCAGTTTAAAACAAACCCTTGAAGAAATTTGTGAGTGTGTGGGAGTCTTCAGGAAGAACCATTCTGTAATGAAAAGCCATCTTGTTCCAACATGGATGTGGAATGGAGTGCACTATGTAATATAACCAGAGTCTAAACAATGTAGTGTATAACTATGTGTAATTATGTAACTTGTTCAAAAACTGAGAACCTCCAAGGACACAGGTTAAAAATTATCAAACCACCGTATCATAGCAGAGGCTGAAAACAAAGTTAAATATAGTTTTGCATGACTGTTTAATAAAGAACAATCTTTTACAGCATAGTATGAGGAATTATAGACTTCAAGGATGACTACTTCAGAACAAGAATAGATTGCTGAAACTCCCCTTTGTGTTCTCTCAGATGTTAATGCATTGCAGTGGCCTCACTTACCCTGTTGTCCTAATTTATTTCTTATTTGAACTCCCACCAGAGGAATTTTCCCTAAAACCTTAAAGGTCTCTTCACATGTGATTCTATGAAACCTCCTACTGAAACTCCTTATTTCAGTAAGAGTAATAAAGGATTAGTGATCTGAATCTGATAAACCTAATCAGAACTGATCTGGATGAATATTGAAAAGAAACATTGTCCCAGTGCCTCAGAAATTATTGCATATAGCTCAACATTGTAAGCGTATTTCAGACTATCATTTTAATTTGTAATTTTTTTCTCCAAAAATGGCCTCAGTAAGATAACTTTTTTTAAAACCATAAAAGGATGGACTAGTCTTTCTAGGAAGTAAGGTAATTAGACTTAGGCCACTCATAATCCAACACTTAATAATTTCCAAGAAACAGAGCATGAAAATCCTCCCCTAAAGTCTAAGAAACTAAACATACGAACTTACAATTCTAGCTTAAATAGAAGTTATTGGTGCGTGAATACACCCACACAGCACCCAGGCTACCACTATATTCCAATTTAAAGGAGAAAAAAGCTGCTGTAACTTTGGTATGGTTTGATAGAGGCAATATTTGAAGGAATAGTTCAAGTAATGATTCAGATCTAGGATATACCGGAAACTCATTCTCCATGCAGAAATACCAAAGAATACACACTTGGTGCAATCCATTTTTATTTTATTCTTTACCTTTACACAGTAAAGCCATCCAGTGCTAGTCTAAAAACTGATCTTGATACTATACAGAATGTACACACCAGCTAGGATCCAGCCTGGTCAGAGGCAAATCAAGATTCCTAACACCATTTGTACAGCATTTAGAAGAAACTTAGTTCAATGTGCTCTCTGATCATCCTTAAAACAATGAAGATTCTTGCTTCAATATGCAACAGAAATACATATGGTTACATTTAATTAAAATTGCTTTTTGCATTTAAATATTTATCTCTCTCTCCAAATGTTACATTTAAAAGAAATTATAACCCAGAAAAACAGAAAAAAGCAAAACCATAAAATGCAATTTGACATTAGCATTTAAATAATTCCAGCCCCTATTTTCTGCCCCATATGTGGAAGAAAAAATATCCAGTTGAGATAAAACCTCAAATCAATTTAAAAATCTGGAAGCACTGGCAACTCAACCAAATAATAATTTCAGTGCTTTAGAAGAATCACCAGCAGATCTATATAGTAATAATTAGAAGATTGTCAGTGAACAGAATAAAGCTGGCAGCAGTGACTCTTCCTCTGCTAAAATCTACAGAGAATACCTGATCACATTTAATAAATTCTGCTAAAATAATATTGGATTGCGATATCACTGGTGACTATAGCCTGTGATACTGCAGAGCAAGGCCTACATAAAACCTATTTGTGAAAACAATGGTTCTGAGGGTGTTGAATGAATTCTTGGAACATGCTGTTGGCACCAAAGGGAAATAATCTCATGGAGATATTAATATGACTTCAAAGCCATTTCCGTTAATGACAAATCTCTTCACTACAATGTGACATTCCAGGGGATGACCAAAAACTCTTAGTTTGGATATGTATAGTTAAGCTCCTACCAAAATACATTAGGGCTTAACGAGATGGATGTGGGTAAAAGGAGAACAGCAAGACCATTTTTCTTTGGTAACTTTTAATTGATGTGGAAATGCCTAAACAGAAAGGAAATTACTCAAATAAATAGGAATAAAACGACTGGAAAAAAATTGAATGGGCTGAAGCACATCCAAAGTAATTGGATATTGTGCTCTTCATAAGAGAAAGGGATTGGGACCATTATATGGTGCTGATTACATAACTGGAGGAAAGCTGTTGAATGAGCATAAAACATTGCTACCAGATGAATATGAAGACTTTTTGAACACTGCCACAGGGAAGAAGTAACTATCTGTATGTTACTCCTAAAGGATTGCTTTACAGCGCTGAGCCTGAAAACCTGGAGACTATTTTTGAAATACTTCTTAGGTAATTTCTGGGTGGGAGACTTTGAGCCAGGAGAAATACTTTCTTAAAAAAACAGTCTGCTCATGCTGCATTAGGAAGGGACTGACATAATGTTGTGGTAATATGTGCTAACCAAGACCGAAGCTCATGCCTATATGTTGCACTTCTGCAGCACTCAGGTATCTCCCAGATTGAACACTTTTCACAATGCATAAAATTAAAGACACTTCTTTCTTTATAGCCCAATTGGAATTGCAAACCAACACAACCATCTTTTTCTTAACATGCATTGTTCCAGCCATAGAGCGGAACTCTTAATCCCACACAATGTTCATAAGAATACAAAGTCAGATTTAGACATTTTATTGAACAGTTAAGATAGAATTTGATTAAAAACTCTTAGGTTAAGAGTATTCCCAAGGGTTTGCCATCTTATTGCTTCCCCTATTTATCCATTTTTCACTGCTCACTGAGCCCTCTTGTGCTGTCCAGTAGCCCTATAGGGAGTTCAAAACAAGTTCTCAAATACATTTTAATATTAGAGATTAACCACACAAATTCAGTTAGTATCCATGCCATCACATTCTTCAGATTCTGGTTCCATGTTTGGGTAAAAAGAATGGTTTCCCTTGAGCCTGACATCTCTGCGTTGGTAAAATAGTACATATGCTGCCTTTGTCTGGAAGAAAGTGATTGAGAGATATAAAAACATTGATACCTAATAATAAAATTGTAACCAAGCTAGCCCATAAAGCCCTAGGACCTGGATCTCTGAAATATACACATACCTACATAGAAGTCTTGAGGCAGATTTTGAGAGAAAAAAGGCCTTTTTTAAAATGACTTTATGACTGTTTATTTTTTCATCTCTGTAAATGTGTAACTATCCTATAAAACTAAGGGTTTGTTATGCTGCAACAAAAACTTATTGTTCAAGCCAGTTACTCATGTAACCGTGTTACTGGGCAGCCTATATAAAAAACCCATAAATATTTCTGAGACATCTCAGTGGGACGCCCCCCAACCCTTTGGCAGTGACTCTGTAGACTTAAAGATCCGAATCCTGCAACGTAGTTAAGCCTCCCCTTCGGTAAGAAGTGCCCAAAGGTAATAGCAGTTTTAAAATAGCGAAAGATTTATTACGGTTCAATTAAGTCAATATTTATTTATTCCATTTCTATTCTGCCATAACCTGCATAGATCCCCAACAGTTTACAATAAAAAAACAACAACCAACCTTAAAGCCAACAGCAATACCAAAATAACAATATACAGTACAAGGCATCCACTCAAGCTTCATACATGCTCTGGAGCTATTATGCTTTAACTAATTTCCAGAAGATGATGATGGTGTGTGTGTGTGCGTGTGTGCACGCACAGAGCCTCAAAAAGGAGTATGGGAATCACACCAAAGAAATACCTGCATCCCCAGCCCCTTTCACCTCTTGATAACAGAGGACCACCAAGAGATTTTGTTGGGGAGCACACACTGGACAGGTCATTTCTAGGCAGAGAAGGTGATCCAGGAGGTATCTTGGAGACATACCATATAGAGTTGTACAGGTCAAAACTAGCACTTTTAATTCAGAAACCATTGGTAACCAGTGCAGGCACCAGCATACAATACAATTGCTGTGGCACTTCTCATTTGCTGAATTTTGGACCAGCTACAGTTTTATTTATGTATTTTGTCCAATTTCTTGACTGTCCAACTCCAAAAACAAGTCCAGGTGGCTTCACAAAATTAAAAACAGGAAAAAACCAACTTGCTGTTGTTATTATATATTTTTATCCCATCTTTTATATATTTTGGTCAATAAAGAGCACATCTGCCCTGAGGGAACAACAACAACAAAGGAGCTATCTTCTGCATCACCCTCAACCGTAGCACAAAGGAATAACCATGCTTTTAAAGACTTAAAGGCTGGTATGGTGAGGGACAGAGGGCTGGCACTGCCACACAGAAGGCCCACTTCCTAGGTCCTGCTAGATGAATTTGCTTAATCGACGGGACCCAAAGCAAGATACTACAGGAGATGATCCCTCAAATAACTAGGCTCTAGGGCTGTATGGGTGATAACCAACATTTTGAATTGCACATGGAAGCTTACTGGTAGCCAGTGCAGCTCACAAAGCAGAGGCACTACATACTATATGTGAGAATAGCAAGGTCTGCCCATTACTGCTTGTCCATTATTCTGGACCAGCTGTAGTTTCTGAGTGATCTTCAAGGGCAGCCTAGATGCAATGTAAAGTGCACTACAACTGTCCACTTGCAAGGTGGCCGAAGTGTGAGTGTAAGGAAAACTTCTGGGTCCAGGAATGGGCACAACTACTGCAAGGTTGGATTTGTGAAAATGTCTTCCTGTAGAGGCTACAGGAAATGGCTTTGCAGGACAGGAGGAAGAGCCACTACCAAGACAACAATCAGACAAGCATGGCTTAAGCCCATTCCAAGAAACTAATTTGAGTAAATATCTCAGACAGTTTCCTCCCTAATTCACAGGAATATAAAGTGAGGGAGGAGGGAAGTACATTCAGACTTGCAAGATTCTGTTACTCTAGCTGTAACAATAAAAGTAGTTTTAGTCCTATACAGTATTGGTTTCTTTGTTTGGTCTACCTTATAGGGCTGATACTTCCTGACCACAACTGCCATCTGCTCCTCAAGTAGGAGCTGGGAGTCCAGGAAGAGCCTTAGATTATGTACTAGTCCTGAATGTGGGAGTGCTACCCCACTCAGGACCAAGGATAGAAGTCCCAGAACCAGAAGGCCCAAGCACTCACTGACAATTAGTCTTGCTAGGGCTGAGTCTGAGCCTACTTTTCCCATTCAGGAAGATCTCCCTATTGCAAGCCTTCAAGGTGAGAGCCCATCCAGTTACAACCAGAGCTGACAGAGAGTCCTTCTGAATAAACAGTAACTCTGCCTTGCTAGGGTTCAACTTCAGCCAAACCATAACAGCTGCCTCCTGCTACCACTTACTAAAACTGTCCACTCAGGAAGGAGTGAATCCACTGTAACACACTGTCTGCATCTCCCAAGCTTCGCAGGGCTTGAGAAGGATATCATTGTTGATGGTACTGAGTGCTGTTGAGAGGTCAGATAAGACCAGAAAGGTATACTCTCCAAATCACAACAAAGGTATTTTATGGGAACAACAAATGACATTTCCATCCTATTCTTGGGCCTGAATTCCGATTGAAAAGGGTCCAGGCAATTTATTTCCTCTAAGGTATCCTTTAGCTGACTCTCCAACAGCTTCTTGACAAGGGGAAATTCAACACTGGAGACTGCATGGTAGTTGTCTAAAACAGCTGGGTGCAGGGAAGACTTCTTAGCATCATCTCCCTCAAATAAATGTTGATCACTCCCAGACCCAGCTCATTAAAGTTCCCCTGACCATCTGAAGAAGCTGGGAGAGGGGCATGTCACAACCAAGTAAATAGTGAAGTCAGGCTAAAAAGCACCTATCATTTAATTAGTGCACAGGTTAAGAGGTTGGTCTGAGGAGTTGCAGCTAAACGCAAGTTCCTAATGGGTTTTAGGTGGATTCTGTTTTCTGTAGAAAAGAGTTTGTAATGCCATTTTAACTTGCTACTCTGCTAATTTAACAACTGCATTTGTTAAATTCCAGAAGTTACAGAGAAAAGGTTTGATTTATTTGAAATACTTACTACTATTTGTTCTTCAGATGCTGGAGATACACTATTATCATCAAAGTAATACCATTTGCCATTGATTTTATTCTTAGCATATGCAGTATCTGCCAGGAAAACAAACACAAGGGAAAAAAATAATGACATTTAGAAATACAGTCTGGGATTTACAAGCACAGATAGTCTCTAACATCATTAAAAAAAGCATAAAGGAACTCCTTCCCTTTTAATACAGTTGGCAATCATTAATAAATATATAACAAACCACAGCACTTTAAAGATCCTCTGGTGAGGGAAGGGGTAGCTTTATACTTTGATTTTTAAAAATATTACACAATCATTTATATGCTTAACTGGTAGGTTAAAAGTTAAACACATTCAGTAACAACCTGCAAATTGCACAGACGCCCTGAATGCTTTTTCATGGGACTCTCAGTGATATTAAAAATATTACTTAAATGTCTAAAGAGTCTAACTATATGTTTATTGAGGATATATAAGAAACAGTAGCTTCAGAGAAGAGGAGCTTTATGATCCAATCCCATAAATGGAGTGAAAGCATCCTCCTGTTCTGGATCACTGGAAGGCAAAAAAGGAAGTTGCTACAAATAGACCTGGATGATATTTTATCCCATCTTTTTTTTTAAGTATATTTTTGGTCAACTCAAGGCAGTGAACATACCCAATACTCCTGCCTCCTATCTTCCCTACAACAACCACCCTGTGAGGTGGGTTGGGCTGAGAGCGAGCGACTGGCCCAGAGTCACCCGGCCATCTTTCATGCCTAAGGGAAGCCCAGAACTCATAGTCTCCTGGTCTCTAGGCCAGCACCTTCACCACTACACCAACTGGATGTTCTGGAAGACAACTGTATCCAAACCATTTGGACACATTTTTGTCAACAGCATCTTCTTTAGTTAAATACGGGATCACGGTGGACTATACACATTGACATTTGAATCCCATTGCTTTGACAGTGTGATTTTTACAAAACAACGAAAAAGCAGTTATCTATTCTAACAAATATTCACTAGAGCATTTTAACTGAAGCTGGGGGAATTGATTTTTCTTGTCCACAGAGTTGATCATTCAGTGTTGTTGTTAAATCACTCCTATTAGCTTTGCCAGGCAGGCCTTATTGAACCAAACCCAGAAGCCTGCAATGGGTTACATTAAGTTTCATAACACCCCCCCTTAAATCCTGCATGTTACTGTGGAGACACTTTTTGAATTTTTGCAGATATAGGAAAAAAAAAAAGCAAGAGTTACTCACAGTGTCCTACACCCATGCCTCCATAGTGATTGGAAACAGCAATTAAGTCATATACATATGGGCTTGCCGCTGGATCACAAACAAACTCAGACATGTTCAAATCCCTATGAAGAAGAGTCATAAAGATCAATGTTGTGGCAAAAGGACATGCTAACACTGAGCTTTTAATACATAGAAAGACTTCCATGAACCTACAAAAAGGGCAGTATATTTCTAAAACTTCAGTTTTAATAGTGTCCACCCTGTTATTCAACTGCTATCACCAGCAAGATTCACGAGAACAATACTGCAGGTTACGCACAATGTTCCTGAAGAGTTCTGGGTGATACACTTACACAGACACTGTCTCACTGAAGAAATACTTCAATACAATCACCAACTTATGGTAATCTCTGGAACTGTACTGTTTGTTTTTTTTTTGCTACAAACACATGAGCAGCAATGGCAGGATCTGTGAAGTAGTCACTGAAAACTTTTTAACAGGGCTGCTCCTCTAACTGAAAGAGATGATACTGCTGCACTTTACATGTTCCACTCAAAAAGTGCTTTTGATAATGTTCCTGAAGAAATAAATCCTAGTGAATAGAGTGAATTTCAGAAGTTAAGTCCCACTGAGTTCAAAGAGGTTTACTACCAGGGAGTAGATAAAGGATGATAACTTTAATAGTGAGAGATCACCTACTACATAGGATGTCAGCTTTAAAAACAGAATATTCCCCCCCCCATGACTAATTAAAAATCAGGAGAATTAACTATGCAATAATTTTTGTTAATAGTTTGAAAGACTGATTGTTTCAAAGTTACCCCAATGGGGCATATGGCTGTTTGGAGGGGGAGAGATAGAGAAGGAATGAGAAAAGAGATTTAGGAATTAAACCTAAAAAGCAGTTTCTCTTACTAACCACCAAACAGCAGTGTTCTTCAGAAAATATATGTACTACATATGTTTGCTGAATGTTAATATGCTTAAGAAGCCACAAACTAATATAAATAAACAATACAGGTCACTTTATTACAACTATAAGGATTAACTATACAGAAATATTTATACTAAGTACTTGTACTATATTGTTACAAATAGTTACAGACAAAAGACACACAGACACTGTGCACAGATATCATTCTTCCAGGCAGGGCCCAGATTGAGAGGAGGCAAATTATCATTGAAACTCAAAGAAATGCTTATATACCATCATCTTTCCAAAATACATCCCCGCAGAAGTATGGATCCAAAGAACTGATAAGGGCATATTTCATTTATAGTCACCAACATTACATAGGGTCATGATGTGACAATGGACATGACCACATGTGTTGTCAGGTTATTTTAAAATATGTATAATTAACCTGGTATAAACAGAGGAAAAATCAATTTCTGTTTCCAAATATATTGACCCAGAGAAGCTATCAGAAACTTTTAATTTCTCATTTAAGTTAAGTATTCATAAAGAGAGGTCAGGTCTTAGCAAACCAATATACTAATATCCATCAGCAAGTATATCCTACCTAAGGATTCTAGGGCCAGGACTTTTCATCATATATATATGAGAAGCTCTGGACTAGAAATCTGTCTTCCTTCAAAATCCCACCAACTGAAGAAATCCTGTGAACTGCTGTGTGTGCACATGCTGTTTCTTAGATTTATTCAGTCAGAGTACATGCCATCATCTAAAACCTTAATGACCTTATGGAGATTACAATAAGGAGTCTAAAAACTTTGGCCTTTACTATTCTGCATTAAGATGTTTGAATAGGGTAATTCAGCAGTTGGCAATGGACAGTTTATTGCTACAAAATGGAAAGGAGCCTTAAGACCTGAATAACCTTTAGTAATTGGAAAAAGACCTAACTGCCATTGAGAGGGTCTGGACTAGCAATGTGATTTTTTTTTAGTATATCAAGCCATAGATGGACATACAAATTCCTAGATTCATTAGCTTTCTTCACTTTTAACAACTACATCACAATCACATATTAATCTATAATTTATATGGAGCAATGGTAAAATGCACATTTTGAAAATGAAAAATTTAGTCAGGAATCTAAGATTTTAGTTCCAAATTCTTCTTCAAATACTAAGGAAGTTTTGGTTTGATCACATAGCAACTGAAAATTTTACCTGATAGGGAATTCAACCACTGTGTCAAGTTTATCCCTCCAGTATCGATTGTATGAGAAGCGTTTTAAATGTACTACCAAAATGCGTGGCAATGACCAGAGGTCAAATTTCTTAGTGGCTTGCTGATGTTTCTTGCAGTTAGGACAGTACCTGAAACAAATCAAATAGAAATTTAAAAAACACACACACACACAAGAGTTTGTTGCAGGTATTTATTGGAAGGGAATTAATACTTGTTTAATGGAACATAAAGTTCCATAGTTCTGGAAAGCTACAGCAACCACAAGTAAACCAGGATAAGTCTTTTGGGATCAGAAGCTGGTTGTCAGCTTTCTGAACTAGGGAGCTCCCTTTGTAAGGAAGAATGGTATATAAATACAAACAGCATACGCAAAATGCAAAGATAATATTCAAGCACAAACTATTAAATCCAGTCCAGAGAGAGGTCAGTAGAAAAACGTACCAGGGATCATGTTCCCCAAGCGTCTCCATAGTTGTAAAGAGTTCTATACATTCTCTAAGAGCTACAGCAGTTTTCTTTTTCTGTGACTGAAACATACTGTTGTGTTTTTCAAATGCCTAAAAACACAAATGTATATTATACTGGAGAAAAACACAGACATTTCTAAAAAGCTGTCAGTGACACACATTCATTACAGTCATAAACTTGTTTTCTGCCTTCTCCCTGTAGTTTGTGCTGGGTTTCCTCCACTTCATACATACAAAGCTACTGCACCATAGTATGCTATAATGACAAACTGCAACAAATGTAAATGCATTCAGGCAGTCCTCATTTAGCAACTGCCTCAGATAGTGACCATTCACAAATGTGATTATAATTGATAGTAAAAAAATAATTTTCCAACTAATGCATCCACTTACACCCACATTTCTGCACCTGACAATGCATGCCAGAGTAAGAGTAACACTGGCATTGCTACCCTAGAGAACTTTATCTAAGAGGCAGCAGCAACAAGTGATCTTTGCAGCATCTCTTTCTCAGTCATGTGGTTCACTTATTGACCATGTTGCTTAGTGACCATTTCACTGGAACCAATTGCTGTTACTAAACAAGGACTACCTGTATTTAAATCTAATTTCTCACTTAAAAATCATTTTGATCAGTAACCATGAATAGTATTTGCATTATAAGATTCAGATGTTCAATCAGCACAACAAAATTTATAGGAATAAAAAAGGCATATAAAATACTATGAGCTGGACGGAGAAGGAGAAGCAAAAACACTAATAAAACACATATGAGAATTTAAGATTGCAAGAAAATTATCATACTGACTGTGTTCAGGCTTGTAAGCCAGAGGCACCCAATGCCTGCTTTTTTAATATATATATATATAAAAAAACCAATCTCAATCTCAATGGCAAAATAAATATTTTGGAAAAAAAAAAAAGTATCCTACCACCAAATGTTTACAGAGCACACTCAGTAAAATACTGTTGTCAGAATGCTTGAAGCTGTTCTCAATGAGCCCATCTATTCTACAAAGCAATATTTCATGGGAATATTTACTTTTTCTTAAGAAAAATATCAAAAAATATCATCTTGCTTAATTTTTTATAATAGGAATGAGGAGTCTAACTAGTACTGCCCTTTAAAAGGGAGACAAAAACATTAATCACCTGTGCTTCATGTTCATCGAAAAGCAGCTTCCGGGTATCAGAATCCCAGTCAATAGCAACGGTTGCGTAGGCTGGAAAAAGAAAAAAAGAATAGCAGCTCACAATTTTACCACAACTGAAAAGCATCTGTAATGATGTTTAGAGAGGATACATACAACTAAGTTTGAGGATCTTCCCTTCTGTGGTAAGGCAGTTTATTTCTGATGTCCCGTAGGAATTCACAAAACTGAAACTGAAAAGTTGCTTTTTGTGATGCTGCCTCCCTTCCACCAGCTCCTCCCTGATACAGCCTTCAGACTGAGGGGCACCTGCATCCAATATTTTCTGTTTGCTTTCTTCACTATCTTGATGTTCCATCTCTTCAGCATCACCTAGAATATATTGCAAAGAGTGTTTCCTACTTCATTTCAGATCTGCAATATCTTCTTATAAACTGGTGAGCAACTGATTAAAAATAACAGCAATGAGAAGTAGGTGGTTATGTTAGAGAAAGCTTGGACTAAATTTGATGTAGTTTTAAGTATTTTAAAGATCAGCCAGAATTAATTTTGTGATCTACAACAAAAGGAAAACAAACACATATTTAGATTTTAGTCTAAATAACCATCCTGGGAGAATTTACCTTCAGATATATCTGTGAAGCCATTGCAGGTGTCACTGTCCAGACACACATCAGAATATTCTTCTTTTAAATTAACTTTTATAAAGCGTCTGAAAAATAACAGCTGGTCCATTATTAGGGAATCAGGCAAACCAATAAACAAAAATAGTAAGTTCCAAAACTGATAGCAATGACTGCATATTACTCAGTCTGATCCCTGACATTTAAATCTGTTCTATTCATAGATCAATACTGCTTTAAAGAAGGCATGGAAATCTTGTGCATAGGATTAGAACTGCAAGCAAGCAAGCATAGTATAAAGTATAACAAGAGAGATATATTATCTCTTCTACAATAGCTCATATTCAAACTGAAATAAGAGAGCTTTTAAATCCCAAACTGTTTTGAAAATTGGGAAGCTACATTAATCCAAAAATACCTAAACTGTACCAAGAAATATGAAAAATTGATTCATCACATATTCTAATAATTTATATTGGTTTACGTTAACATTTTTTCAAAAGAAATAATGTTTTTTAACTGTAAAATAGGCAGTATGTAGTGTAGAAACAACTGCTACTTAAAAACATTAGAAAGAACTTCACGGAGGATAGGTCTATTTGTGACTATTAACCATAGGAATGAACCATAAAGATAATATACAGATTATGGCCACTGAGTGCTTGCATTGCTACTGACATTCTAGAGGCTGGCTGCTACAATAACATACTATCTTTGATCCAACTAGGTTGCTTTGTTTTAGAGTCTGGGGTCTATAAAGTCTCTCTTTAAAAAGGAAAATTTGGACTTGTCATCTTTTAGCAGAGGAAGATGTGTCACGTTTGTGAGAACCCACTACAACCTTATCTCTTCAGATATGATACTAATGCAAAATAATTGAACGAACGGTTATGACCATATGAATAGTATGCCAAGATGGGACCTATACTCACCCAATTCGTTCCAATATAACACTGTACAAGTAATCTATTGTGAGTTTGTGTTTGGGTACAGCTATGAGTAGTGGTTGACCGTAGAGAACTGTTCCTGGAGTAGCACTGGATTGCCTTGCTCTCTTTTCTCTGAAGTAAACTGAGAGAGTGACCCATTCAGCACTATCTTCAGTTGGCTTACAAACTTCAAATCTGCAGGGAGAGACAGATCAAGAGCTGTTTAATATTGTTCCAGAGGGAAGAACACAGATTTAATTTACAGGATGACAGATTCCAACTGAAAGTCAGAAAAAAAACCCTTCTTAACTGTAGCAATAGTTCAACAGAAGAATCAGTTATCCAGAGAGGTAGTAGGCTGCTCTTCACTAGGTGTGTTCAAGCAGAAGACAGAAAGCCATATATTAGGAACAGATGACATTCCTTCAGATCCCCTTGACTTCTCTCCCTTTTTTTCAAATTATTATTAGATTTTTATCCTGACTTTTTTTTTTAAATGGGGAGAACTGCGAACTTGTTATCTCAAGAAAGGAGGAATATATTGTTGGTTACTGGTAATCAAATACATTCCTCCTTTCTTGAGGGGTCAAATAACTGCATTTTGAACTATTAAAGTAGTCCATCCAAGAATGTAGATACCATTTTAGTGGTAACTGATGTTCATTCTAATTTGGTCATTTCATTCCCTTACCACCACTTTTGAGACAGCTGGTCTATTTATTCAACAAGTTTTCTGAAATCATAGCTTGCCCATCACCTCATTTCTGACAGAGGCACTCCATTCACAGTGCACTTTTGGAAAATTCTATTTCAACTATGTTAAGTTCTACCTGTTCTGTAATTAAGAATTGGATTAAGAAACAGAGAAGACAAATACCATCTTAGAGCAATACCTTGATTGCTATGTTAACTATCACCAAAACAATTGGCCTAATATTTTACCTATGGCTGAGTTCGGTTATAACAGTTTATACCTCTATTCAGATATTATTGCTCAAACAACCTACAGTTACCATTTGTACCTGCTGCCAAATGCCTTCTGGTTTTCTCCTGTTTCAGAGGCTTTCTTTTTCTTCAAGAACTAGAAGTTGCTCAATGCCTCCTCTTTTTAATTCATGTTATGCAGCCTTCTTTAAACTATATTTTCATGAACAGTTTGGAATAAAATGCGTAAGCTTTGATTTTCAATAATTATTTGTACTTTTGAAAAACTAAAAAAGTATTTTTTTTAAAAAAAGTTGTTTTATGCCTCCACAAGGGTAAACCAGATGATGCCAAGACTTTATATAACCACACTACTGTATTGTCCCTCTTCCCTTAACTGTTCAGACCACATCTATTTAATATCTACACGAAGCCCTGAGGAAGGTTATCCTGAGGATGACACAGGATAAGGCATTACCAGTATTCTGATGATACTCATATATTTCAATCCCTGGTCACCCAACTTACGTAGTCACGGTTCTGTCTCACTGTCTGGATGCTGTGGGACTCTTGATGGAGAAAAACCAGCTCAAATTTTAGCAAGACCTGGTGGCCATGGATTTGGGGGCTGCCTGTTCCCAAAGCTCTTCCATCTTTAGTTCTGGATGGGACTGCACTGCCCCAGACAGAACTGGTGTGTAATTTGGGGGTCCCCCTGGACTTGCAACTCTTGCTTGAGGAACAGGTGGCAACTATGGCTAGGAGGGCCTTTGCACAAATTCATCTGGATCAGGCAGCCCTGCTCACAGGTACTCATACCTTAGTGACCCCTCATTTAGATTACTCTGTACATGAGGCTGCCCTTGAAGACCACTCAAAAACTATACCTGGTCCAGAATGAAGCAGTGTGGGTAATTATGGGTACAGCTTGGTACATCCATGTAACACTGCTAGTGTGTGAGCTGCACTTTTTACTGGTGGGCTTCTGGATGCAATTCAAGGTGTTGGCTGTCAACTCTTCATGGCACAGGTCCAGAATATTTGAGGGACCATATATCTCCAATTATTTTTACCCACCCTAAAGTCAGACAGGTTTAGCGTATTTCAGGTTCTGTCTACTGAACAGTGAGATCTTCTGGGATCCAGGAAGTGTGACTTCCCTGTGGCTGAGCCTGCTTGGTGGCCCCCAGCATGCCCCCACCAAGATTTGGCCCCCACAACATGCCCCCACCAAGATTTGGATAACCCTGACTGCTGGCATTTAAAAAAGCCTGGCTCTTCCCTTGAGCACAGTGCCAGAATTTAATTTATTTCTTTTTAATTTAATTTAATTTAATTTAATTTAGGTATGACCACCCAATCCAGAAGACTCTGGGGAGCTTACAGAACCCTACCCCCCCAAAATCAGTAAAGCAATTAAAACAGTTAACACCCACATAAACAGACAACTTAGACTAAAACAACTAGAACAACAAACAGTACAAAAATATGACAGGGGCCTCACCAATTTCAACCCCTGGTCACCCAACTTAACTACGTTAATGGTTAACCACATTAACTCCAGGTTTGGGAACAGGTCTTAATGGCTTTTTGGAACCCCAAGATATTCCATTAATCTGGGGATGTTGTTCCAGAGGATAGGGGCGATGACAGAAAAGACATGTTTCCTTGGTCTCACAAGATGGGAGCATTTAACTGAAGGACCCTGGAGTGCACCCACTTAGCCTGAACGTATTGGGGAGGCAGAAACAATTGGAGATAAGTTGTCCTTCAAATAACCCAGACCTGGGCCATGAAAGGTTTTATAGGTGGCAACCAGCACCCTGAATTTCACCTGGAAGCCTACTGTCAACCAGTGCAGCCCACACAGCACCAGTGACACACGGGCATAACATGAAGTGCCTATTATTGCTCATGCCACTGCATTTTGTACCAGCTGTAGCTTCTAGATGGTCTTCAAGGGGAGCCCAATGTACAGCACATTGCAGTAGTCTATTTGTGAGGTGATCAGGGTGTGAGTGATGGTCTGAAGGGCCTCTCGGTTGAGGAAAGGGTGTAATTGGTGTACAAGATGAATCTGTGCAAAGACCTGCTGGCCAAAGTTGCCACTTGCTCTTCAAGCAGGAGCTGTGAATCTGGGAGACAACCAGATTGCATAATAGTCCTGAATGGGGAAATGCAATCCCATCCAAGACCAATGACAGAAATTCCCCTGCCTGAGGAAAGCCAAATAGCTGCAGCCACTCAGTCTTGTCAGGATTGAACCAAAGTTTATTCTTCCCCATCCAGACCCAAACACCCTCCAGACGCTGGGTCAGTACATCGATGGCTTCACCTGTATAGCCCAGGGTTGAGATGTACAGCTGGGTATCACTAATATACTGATGATACTGATCCCTGAACTGATGGATGACCTCACCCAGTGGTCTCATGTAGATGTTAAACAGGAGGGGAGAGAGCGTCAAACCCTGAGGCATCTCACAAGTGAGGGGCCATGCTTCAGGGTTCAGTGCTCTTTTCCCTCCTGTTATTTAAGGGGGGGGGTATTGTTCTCAACACTATATGAGTTTTGGTGTGGCTTTTTTACAGTGGATCTAGTTTTATGATTTTAACTTGTTAATCACCCAGGGTTACTGGGCAGCCACATAAATAAATGAATGCATAATTAATGTGGTTTTCCACCAGATTTCCCCTTCTACATGTTTATTAAAAAGCAGAATGCTAAGTTTATTTCTTTTACTTGCAGAAATCAATCTTTTCTCTCCAGCCATGCTGAAAATACATCTGGTTTTCCACCTTTCTCTTTCTTTGTGTACCTCTGCCCTCCCAATCCCCATCTAGGTACAGGGAAGAAGAATCTGAAGCAGAATACACTTTAGACTCCCAAGCACAGAAGTAGCAAATTGGAACATCTGATTCATTGGAAGGGCTACGCAGACATAAAAAGATCACAGAAAACAGATTATGTAAAACCCCTTTAACTCTTTTAATAGTTCTATTTATAGTATTTTCACAAACCCCAAACAACTGATGGGCCATATGTTCTGGCGCTGGTGCCTGTCAGCAGTACTGACTTTGAAGAAAGGGCACTGGTTTGGGGAAAGAGAGGCAGACATTTGTAAGAGAAGGAGAGACTGCTTCAAGAAGTTAAGAAGGAGAGTTTTGGAATGGGAAGAGCTTAAGATCAAAAAGTGTAAGAGATGGAATCTCTCCCCCATTTTGCTGTCTGGTGTCAGGAAGAAGAGAGGAAAAAGAGTCTGAAATGGAGGAAACCTCTCTGACTTGGGCAAAGAATAAATTAAAATCATGCCCTGAAATCCAAAGACAGAAGGAAGGAGGGATACTGAGGTTTGACCAGGAGGAGGAGCCTTTGTCAATTTCAACTGACAAAAAAGTAGAAAGAGGAGGAGGAGCAAATGCTTACTAGTCTTCTATGACTGGATGAAAGGAGGAGGAGTTGCACCTGGCACTTCCAAGTTCACAGGGGAAAGAGAAAATAGGGAAGGGATGTAAAGGCTGAAACTGGAAAAATGAGAAACAACAATAATTCAGACAGAACTATTAAATAAACATGGAATAGATGTCTCCTACTTACAAGGTCAAGAAAAAAAAACAGCCAAATTTAAGATCAGGAAGAAAAGGACTAAGCCCTGGTTATCTGGCTTGCCTTGGATTTAAATTGAGATTATTGTATCATGGTTTAGGTTTTATCAGAGCACTGACTTTGACACTCTTTTGTTAATCATGACGACTACTCTATTTCTTCTGTGATTTTCTTGCCCATAGTAGATTTGATGCTCCTGTGATATGATTCTTGTCCATTTCAGCTCGTTCTCAGATCAATATTTAGTGTTAACATTTATGCCCTGACAGCATTAAGTCTGACACAGTTCTGACCTTCCATGTATCAATGACATATATATAATTTCAGCATTGAACTTTCCTTTGCTTCTGGCCACATTACCAGCTGAACATTTTGGCTTTAATCCAACCACATCATAGGTATCAGTGCTTCTTGCCCTCTGCAATTTCTCAGTAGTTCACTGGATATTTTTTGACCTGGGCAGCTCATCTTCCGGTACTGTTGCAAATGGTCATTTGAATTTGGGTGGGGGGAGAGGGCAGAATATTGTACTGGGTTAGAGTTTTCTTTTCCAATGCATGATATATACTCTGATACCTGGTATATGACCTGCTGATTATATACCTTTTTGAGAGGGTATACTTCCAACAGAATAGCTCATAGCATCATTGGGATGCACAAGCTCCTT